TTTTTTATGTAAATTTTTAATTTATTTTTTATTATAATTTAATTTAAGTTTAATAACGAAATAATTTACTTTTGATTTAATAATATAACATTTGATAAAAATACTAATTAAGTATTCTGTTAGAATTCAATGATTATCCTAATTATATTTTATATTTTTTATATTTAAAATGAGATGTTTATTCTGTATTTGATTATATTTATATACAGTTAGTTACACGAATTCATGTATAGAGCTTTAATAAGTTGTAGTTACGGACAATCTACTTGTAATATTGAGTTTTAAGTAATGTGCATTAATAAACAGTACTTTACGCATAAAAAATGGTTTTTAAGAGYTTTTGTCAAATGCTTTATAATATAGTATATATATATATATAAAAATGTAATCAAATTTATAATATAATAAAAATGTCTTATATTTTTTGATATTTGAATAAAATTGTGCATTTTTTGATTATAAAAAATAATCAAATTTTTTTTTTGTTAAAATCATAATTAAAAAAGACAAAAAAAAACTATAAAAATGTTGGTGAAGTTGTCCCACATTGGAAGAGAGATAACACATGAAAGGTGAATAAAGTTTGTAATTTTGTTTTTTTATGATGAAGTTTGAGGTGCATCTTTTTAGTTTTATAAAATTTAATAGAACACCTTTAAGCTTAATTTATAAGAGAAGACCCTAAAACTTTATAAATTTCAATGGATGAGCTTAGTTCGAGTTTCAAAAAAGTTCGAGCTTGAGTTCGAGTTTAAAAAATTACAATCGAGTTCGAGTCGAGTTTAAAACTTAACTACTCGTGAGTTTCCGAATCGAGTTCTAGCTTGATAAATAACTATCGAGTTCGAGTCGAGTATATTGATACTCCAGCTCGACTCACATCATTTACACCACTACCCTTACCCAATAAGCATTAACCGGATAAAAATATAACATACAATATCGTTTTAATAGATTAAAGTCTTATCGTATTAATCATAAGACCCTTTTTCATAATTTCAGTTTAGGGACGTATACTATCAAAATAACCAAACCACAGGGACCAAACATGTAATTCACTCTATCTCTTAAATCAACCTGTAGCTTTGTGGATTAACCCAGGCTCTCAAGTCACCTCGTAAGTCGTAACCAGACGAGATTTTCGTCGTTCCGCCATTCTTCCATCCTCCAGACGACTCCAATTCCTAATAACAAACTCAAAATCTAAGTATGGGTTTACCGGAGATCGTCGAAGTTGCTCGGAATTTCTCTCTCATGATCAGGGTTCAGGGCCCTGTAAGCTTCTATCTACTTTACCCCCTTTCTCAGTTCTCTGTAAGTTCAAGTATTAAACTGTTGTCCAATATTTGATTTAATTCAGGACCCAAAAGGATTGAAGATGAGAAAACATGCTTTCCATCATTACATGTGAGTTTTCTGCAATCACTTTGTAATTCAAGAGTAGCTTCAGTTTTTTATTTTTGTTTTATTTTTTTAGTTTTGTGTTGTTAAGTAATTTGTGAATTGGTTGATCTCAAGGAGAACAGGAAGTGATTCAGACATGAAATGATTTGATGATATATATGGTTTGAGAATTTGAGATCCTATGTAAAACAAGTTAACAAAACTAGCTAATTATAGTATTAGAATAACTTAGAGTGCATAATACTAAGGGCATGAAGAACACGCGCAAATGCCTGTCATGTACCTTTTGCCTGTTCCAAAAGTAGCAGTTGCTTTCGAGCCACCCCTGCTAAACAGACTTATGCAAGATATGTGTGGTGCCACCATTATTGCACCAAAGTACTGATAGGGTGGAAGCTTGAAGTCATAATGTATGTTGCTTTTGAGATGGCCAATACCTAAGATTACAGCCCAAGCACACAACATAGACTTTGGGAGGCAAGTGGCCCAATTGGCATATCAGTAAATACATGAAAATGTAGCTGAGAGGTTGAGAATCAATACATGGTTTTTGTGCTATGCAGATATCAAATGATTCGTTTCACAACCACCTAATGTTCTTTGGAGGGGATATGCATTAATAAGGGCACATGATTTCAAAGAAGTCGTCTACATACAGATGAGTGCCAAGTGTAGGAGACATCCAATTTTTTTGGACACTTTTTCGAATGAGAGATAAGTTGTCTCATGAATTTTGAAGGCTTGGTGATAAATGAAGAGGTTACTTATGGATTTTGATCTAGACACTTTAGAATTGTTGTCATGTACAATTTATAAGAGGGAGGCAAACTATGTGTCTATTCGAGAACTCTCTCTTAGAAATTAATATGAGCACTTAAAATCCCTTGGGTGGAAATTCATGACCAAGACAAATGACAAGATTGCCATCATATGAATCAAATTTATTGTAATACTAATTGTATCGGTAATATTCACCAACAAACGCAATTAAATGATTCTCACAGTCCCAAACAAACACTTGAAATCCAAATGCAAATATATTTTAAAACAACAAATGCAGAAAAGCAAGAATTAGAAACGTGCTAACAACGATCCATTCATATATAACAATCCACAATGATCTAAAAATGCAATGTATAAGCTTAAAACATGTAAACACAAGATGACACAAAAACGAAGAGAACCATTAAACACGAGATGAAACCGAGACAACCAGATTTAGTGTGGCAACACTATCGGTGTGATAGTGTACATCCACATAGAGAGGGATATTGATTGTGTTAATCAAATGGAGGTTACAATGTACTTACAAGCAAGTAAAGAAACCGAAATCACCAAGAATAGCTATGTTTTCCGAGACCTTCTAAATATGGAAAGTTAATTGAAAGATTACATGAGCCAATGAAACAAAAGAGACCTAACTTAGCCTTTTGTCTGATTTCATCGTACTCGACTTGGCTTACGTGACCGATCGCCTGGTTGTACAGTAAGTTCAGCAGCGTGTATGCTACCTCGGCCATGCGATGGGCATGTTGCAAACCTTGAAAACCAACCTCGCAGAATTGCAGCTATCTGATGCCTTGATTCCAAGTCTTCTCTGCAACTTGGCTGTGCGACCTGGCTTCACTAGCCAAGGTGGCATGCAGAGGGGAGATTGTGTAAGATCCAATTTCAATATATAACACCAAATAAAGTTCATTGAACCAAGCCTAGCCACCTATCTTCAAGGCATGCAGTGAGTGATGAAGCATACTCTCATTTCTTTGAATGGACATTGTTTGTGAAACCAAGAGGTGTAGTCTTATACACTTCTTTCAACAAATGACCATTAGGAATGCATTTTGAATAATGACTTTGTGAGAGGTCCATCCAAAAGGAACAACCAAAGAAAGAGGTAGTCAAATAATGTTGGGCATTCACAAGCAGACTAAAGGGTTTTCCTATGGATATGACATCTTGGTCTGGAAGCAACTACGACCATTGAGGAGCTTTAGGTGTTAGAGCTATTGACTCTATGTATGGGGTGTGGTGATGCATCAACAATAGAAGATGTATGAAAGAACTCGTCACTAAGAAGTATATCTACGAGGGAGGTTAGACATGAGGAAAAATGGTGGTGCCCTAGTCAATGAACTCAATCTTAAGATCTATAAGGATGTAGACCTTGAGGTCTACAATAGACAATTAACAATTGACAACACCAAGTTCATTTGTTTGGTGACTGAGGTATCGAGTTGTTTTGATTCTTGGAGATCATTGTGCAGATGAAAAATACGTCAATTAGAGGCTCATGCATAGACCAATGTGTGCATTTCAATACCTTTTTAGAAGCAAAGAGAATAGCTAGCAACATATGGACCTTCTCACTCTAAGGTCAAAAACTCCTTGGTTGTGTCCATGCCCGTCTCATGTTCTCACATTGTCCTTCTTGGTCATAGTTTCACCAAATGTTCTCACATTGCCCATCTTGGTCATAGTTGCACCAAATGTTCTCACATTGTCCTTCTTGGTCATAGATGCAAGAGTTTTGGTGCAAGTATGACCACGAAGGATAGTGTGAGGACATGACATGGTTGAGTGACTTCTCTCCTATAAGCTAGTTCTGCTTTCGAGATCTAACTCCTTACTTTCTTTCCTACCATAGAACTCCAATAGAAAACACATTGACACAAGCAATGAGTTTTTGAACTTGAGAAATGGAATGCGGACATGACGTTAGTGCAACACAAAAGATAGTTTTGAGACGTCATTAGGCAATAACCAGAGATCCCATCTGCAACCTAATTGATCCAGCTAATCATGAGCTTTAGAATAATCCCAGATGTACAATAAGAAGGTGATGAAGGACACCGGTCAATAGGTTGCAAGATAGATGATTGGGCCATCTTCTTTTTGTTTTGCTTGTATTCTTCCTGAATCGTTGAACTACTTGTTACACTTGAGAAGCTTCTCCAATAATTTCTTTCTCGGGAATGAAAATAGTTCATTTTGCTATATACATATAATTGATATACATTTGACTATTTGTAAGCTTTATGCCAATTGCTATCATTCATTCTCTTGTTTCTTATTCGTTGCGAGGCATGCTTTGACTTTCAGCATAAAAATCTAAACTTGAACTTCAAGCTTTCCATGGATCTTTTATGTTTTTGATAAAAACAAAGGTAATCACAAATACTTGGAAAAGAATCTTGTTGGTAAATTTGTAACAAAATTGATAGCAAGTATTAATTTGAATGTTAATAGGTTTTTAACCTCAAAAGTCAATTGTATCTTTTGTCTTCTTAGTGTCGTTTTGGTAGATAAATTTTTTGAAGGTAAGGGTTAGTTGGTAGACGGGACCAATTAGCCAAGTTAATTACTGAGCTTCCCTAAGGATTTATGTATTAGCATACCAATGACATTTTTCTTTTAAAATAAATTAGGTCAGGGAAAACCACTCTTTCAGCATCTGGAATGGTATTGCCTAGTTCATTTAATGTTGGTCCATTAGCTGAACAAGTTAGCAGCGAGCCAATGTCGTTGGTTCTGACAGTTGCATCAATAATCGAGCCATTTCTTTCTTCAAAGCACAGGGATCATATGTTTCAGGTACAGTTCAATTTCTTTATTTCTATTAGCAGGAGGTATGGGTCTGCATATCTGATTTTTCTTATAAATGCGATCAGGTCAAACCAGAGTTGATTTCTGGTGCTCAGATAGATGTAATGGTGGAGGTAAAGACACTACTTCTAACTTTTAGTGCAGTTTTGTTTAATTGTTGATAAGTTTTGATATATTCTGATAATGTGGTTCCGGTGGCTTATGCACGCAGGGGAATGCTAAAGCGACAAACAGTGAAACCCTTCATTGGCTACCTGCTGAACTTATAACGTTGGTAGACACGTTTTGCTTGCACTTCTACCTAATTAAATGAATTACACTCGGTTGCCAACAAAAGATGTACAGTTTGATTTTCAAGGTCAAACAAAGTTACAAACTAATATTTAGCTTCAAAATTGTTATGAATCATCAGAAATTGTAGCGAATGTAATATTCTCCACCATCTCGTGAAGGTTGCATTAATTTCTATTTTGGTTATCCCATTAAAATTGGTTTTCTTTTTTGGAAACTTTTAAGTTAAAATGGATGATCTCTTACTATCATCATTGCAAATAGAGGGTACTGATATGGGTCCACAACCTCCCTTCATTTTGTCTTTATTAAAGAGTATTTTAGATACATGGGAAATGGTTAAAAGATTTGTTTAAACCATGTGCCAAGTCAAAAGTTGCAATTTTCATTGATCAAGGGAGCACCCTTGAACCATCAAGCAGTGAAGGCAGTGATGTTGGTGTTAAAATCATAACATGATCTTAATTAAAATTAAAAAGTAATAGGTCCTATCTCAAACTTCAAGACTACATCTCTTGTTTGGCAAAGGATGTTACAAGTTCCTCTAGTTACACTGTGGAATCACTTGATAACAATTACTTTCTGATGGTTTATTCATTTGAAGCTTGACATTCCCGCTTCCTCTGTTGCTCTTCAAACTTTAATTGGAGCCTCTTCTGGGTCAATGGAGCATGGTTGGGAAGTTGGTTGGTCCTTGGCCTCATATAATGATGGTCAGCAACCATATTTTGATGCTACACAGAAGGAGGTATTTAAAGAACATTCCACCTGTCAGTTTTTATAAACCAAAGGCTAAGATCAATGGACTTAAAAACAAAACCATGTTTCGTTGTAATTAACACATCAAATATGCTTATATAAACGAACATCTATGAAAAGGCTTTGTCCTGAAGGCAGCTTTTATTACACACATGTTTCTGTTTTAATTGATTATTTCAGGCTCCTCGAACTTCAGTCCGGAGTCAAAGGGAAATGCTACGGGAACAGTCAATTGATTCAAGTCTAATGGGCAAGTTAGCCACTCGAATTGCTATACTGAAACTATCTTCAAGAACTTTTGAGGTACTTTCTGTTTTTCTTTCCCCTATATTGTGTAGAAAGAAATGGTGATACTTATAACGATCTCTGTATATATCTGCCATTAAATTTGCTTTTGCTGCTTCTGTTATTTGTTTTTGTTTTCAGTTGCATATTTCAGGAGAATTAGTGGAAAATAATTTTGTGTAGGATCTGCCGAACCTAAACATGTCACCTGCAAAGAAGAGGGGGGATCTTCTTCTGGCAATGGGTGCTCCATTTGGCATCTTGTCTCCTGCTCACTTCTGTAACAGGTAATGCGAATTCTCAAGATTATTTTTTTATTGCATTTCTAGGTGGTTTTTAAAACAGAAAAAGTATAATACCTTTTGCCTGATCTACTTCCAAATTGTTTCATCACTATACATCATGTGTTTGAATCACTTTTTACCCACTTATCCAACTTCTCAGTTAAAAGATGACATTTGTTCTGACACATTCTCCTTAATGAGCCTTAGAAGCAGCATCATTTTAATAATCACAAATTAGTGAACTCATTCTGATTTTGCCGAAGTTAGAAGCAGTGGAAAAGGTGCCTCTTACAAGAGGTACACTATCCAAATAAACAGTTTTGGTGATGCAATGACCATAATTTAATTTACTATATATCAAAGGGGTCAAACATGTATTTTCTTTTTCTTTTGAATCAAATAGATGCCTCGTTGAAATCATTATGGTACAAAAATGCCCTTTTTGTTATCATCGCCCTTTTAAGATCATCTGATTGTCATCTATAACCATGGTCTGAGGCTATCTATTCTGTTGGGTGTATGACCTAGCATGATTTTGAGACCAGTTTATCTTAACCTTTTATGTCAGTGTTGATGTTCTTTGTTATGGTGTGAAGGTATCTTGTAACATGAATTGACGTCTTTACAATTTGCTACTTGGACCAGTATATCAGTTGGTTACGTTTCCAATTGCTACCCGTCAAGTTCCTCTCATGTATCATTGTTAATGGCAGACATTCGGTGTCTTCCAGGTGCGAACATTTATCTCATGAATGATCTCAATGTTAACTGCATTAGTCTGGATCAATTATTCATGGCAAACGCACACACATATATTATATATATTATAAAGCATTTAAGTAAAAGTCATAAAAACAGATTATTAAGCATAATGTACTACATAATAATGCATAATTCAATATATTCTATATACTCCAAAAAATTTCAAGTTTACAAGTAATGACAACATACGTACAGTTTCTTAAAGCTATTTGAACTTTATAAAACTAACTAATAACCAACTGATAAACAAGTTCAAATAAAACGATAATCATTGAGCCCTTGGTTTAAAAATGCGCGCATTATGCGTTGTGATGCGTGATGCGCTGTGATGCGCTGAAGAAAACGCATCAAAGGGTCTGATGCGTTGCGATTCCATGATGCGATCGCATCACCTACGCATCACATGATGCGTGCATCACTTATGCATCAGCGCATCATGTATGTTGCATTTTTGGGCTCCCTTTTTCAGTATTTAGTTGGGCTTCTTAGTTAAGTAAAATAGAACGTGAGTGAGACTGTTAGCGACCTAATAGAAGAAGCCGACAGCGAAGAAGCAGTAGTAGTCGAACCAGCAGCAGTAGTCGAACCAACAGCAGTCGATACCAGCATCGCATATCAATTAAAACGTGACGTGATTTACTTAACTTGTGTAATTGTGTTCTTTATGGTAGTAGTTTATGGTCACTTGGTTGGTCATTTAGTTTAGGGATTGAGACTATTAGACATTTACTTGTGTAATTGTGTTCTTCATGGTAGTAATTTGTGTGTTCTGAACTTCTGTTATTCCTATTCACGAACTTTTTAAGATTCTAATGTCACTTTTTTAACTACTTTATGTTATAAATGAAATATTTAGATATGCAAGTATTTTTAAGGTAGAAATTGATATGTTTAATTTATAAATATTTTTTGAATACCGGGCGCATCAGCATCACGCATCACGCATCACGCATCGGCTTCCGGGACCCTTAACGCATCGGACAACATCGTGCTTTTTAAAACCAAGATTGAGCCATAACAGAATATTTCATAATTATCTTTATCCAAAAACTATTTCATCATTAAGACTAAAATGAATTACTCTTTTATTTTTTTTAAATCTAAAATAAGTTACATCTTTATTTTTAAATCTTAAATATTCAAAATTATAATAAAAATTCGAATTAAACCAATTATACCAAATAACAAGAATTTTTAATTCTTTAATTTGACACCAATTTTGAAAATTGCATTAAATGTCATTATCAGTTTGCATCTCACAGGTACACAACTAGTATATGTGAATGTATGTATATATATTTTTTTCAGGGATGGAAGGTAGTCCAGTTTTTGGGGAACAATCAGAGATTGTTGGCATGCTTACAAGGCCACTGAGACAGAGGGTTAGTGGTGCTGAAGTTCAGGTGATGACTTTTCTTAATATACAACCTCTAAGACCAGATATAGTAAGTGGTCAGAGGCAACCTTGGAGCAACTGGTGGGGTTACTTCTTTGTGAGTGGAAGGTGGTGAGCGATTAGCGTACAAAGTCTTAACGCATTTTAGGTTCCACCATAGACATAGTAAATTGTCATTGGCAAAAGTTGACTTTTGAATACTGAAAATTAATGATTTTTTTTTTCAAAACTGGTTTTCTGTTTTTGTCCATGCACAATGTCACCTTTTATGGGGTGTTTGGTTCATGGATTTTGAAGGAATTGGAATGGATAATTTCTTTATCCAAATTCCAAATCCTATGTTTGGTTCACGTAATAAAAATGTAGGAATCCTTTGAATTCCATTGAATTCCACAAAATAATGAATTCATCATCCCTTGGCATAAGTGAAGGAATTGAATTCCATCTCTTTGCATCCAATTTAACCAACACAACCCACCCCCTGCCCCAACCATGACCATGCTACTATTGTCAATGTCACGCCCCCACCGTAAACCCCCACCACCACACCATTACTGTTTCCTTCACAACAGCCACCCACCCCAACCTCCAACCCACCACTGACCACCGTACCACTACTGTGTCGTCACAACTACCACCCACCCACGTGGTGGTGGGGGCGGGGATGGTGTGGGGGTGGCAGGGTGCCACCATGCCACTATTGTCGTCGTTACAACTACCACCCCCACCCTCCTCCCAAACAAAGATGGAGATTCCAATTCCTACAAACCAAACTCGTGGTCAAATTCCGTTCCAGTTCCTTCAAAGTCAAATTCCTTTGATGGATTTCAATTCCATCAAATTCCATTATGTGAACCAAACTCTCCCCTTAGTACAAAGAATATCAAGGTTTATTTTGGGTAACAAATATATATCATCATCGTCATGTAAAACAGGTGTCTTAAACTTCCTCCTTCCCCCCCAATATGAAGTGCTCGACTTGGCACATAATGTAAATCAAGGTGTTCGACTATTAGTGAAGTATATAAAAATACCTTTCAATATGGCAAAATAAAGACATCTTCTCTACCTAAATGATATATATATATATATATATATATATTGTAAGGTCTGTCAATGGGCACGTTAGGGGGTTGAGGGCGAGATGTGTTGCTTGGCCTTACTTGCTATGTGTGTGTCATGCCTTCCTTATATTTTCTTATGTTTCCAATATACCTATTCGTTACCTTTTTCTTATTTTTAAGTGCTTTGTTCGTCATATGTTAGTCTTCATTCCTTCTACCTATTTACCCGCACTCTTGCACAAGCTGGGGGTCTACAGAGAAACAACCGCATTACCATTTTGGGTTAGGGGGTTAGGTGCGCATGCATCTCATCCCGCAGACCCTACTTTCGAGTTGGATTTACTGAATCAGTTTTTTTGGTTTGGTTTGGTTTTGGTCTATCAATTGGCAAAAAGGTAATTATGGATTAGTACTTCACCAAAAATAGAAATGCCACCTTAATTTTGGCACATTCCAAGAAGGAAGTTCGTGCATTTATTTTAGTATCGATGCAAGTATTCTAGCCTTTCTATCGAACAACATGTCAATGTTGCCTTTTGTGCACTAATGTTAGAAGCTTGTTTTATGACAGCTTGTGATTCCATGGGAAGCCATTGTAATGGCTTGTGATGGCTTTCAATTACCCAACACAGTCAACTTGAAGGATTCATTGAAACATGCTCATGAGTATCTTTGTTCCTTTGAAGTCCCTCCAAATCCCGTTGAGAAGGCAATGTCTTCCATATGCCTTGTTACTATTGGTGATGGCGTGTGGGCATCTGGTGTTTTGCTCAACAACCATGGCCTTATTCTTACAAATGCTCACCTTCTGGAGCCATGGAGATTTAAGAAAACCGGGGCCAATGAGAATCATGAAGTTGTGTCAAATATATTTTTTACCCATTCAAATGAAACAGGAGATTGGCCCCCAACCAAACAGGAGGCAAAGCCAGGGAGTTTTCAGTCTAACTTCAACAAGACAATTCATCAAAGAATCCGTGTTCGTGTGGATTATTTGGACCGTTGGATATGGTGTGATGCAAGTATACTCTATGTTTCTAAAGGTCCTCTGGACATTGCAGTACTGCAACTTAATGTTGTGCCTGATAAGCTTCAACCTATCATCATGGATTTCACTTGTCCCTCTCCGGGATCAAAGGTTTATGTTATTGGACATGGACTTTTTGGGCCTCGTTGTGGTAAATATTATTTTTCATGACTGCTTCTTATAGTTTATCTTGTGGTATTATCCAGCTTTGTGACAAATACTCCTTCCATCCCATGAAAATCTTGTTTTCTAGAAAGTTTCCCAGTCAAAATTACATAGCTGTCTATCATTATCATTACAAGTAGTTGATGGTATTGATGTGGTCTGCCATTTCTCAATTTTATTGTAGTGAAATAAATTAACAATTTTATTTGAAATACATACTTTAAGTACTTAGGTCATATAAAATATTCCCTCCCATGAAAATTGCAACACTTCCCTTTTCAGGATGCCTGTGAAGATTGCAACATTTTTTTGTTATAAAGTTATTCAAAATCAAATACTTACCTGTCATCATCGTCATAGATGAATTGATGAATGTTGATATGGGTCCATGAAAAATCGTTATTTGCCTTCTATCGAAGGGTATTTTGGATATTTCACAAGTAGTCAAACATTTTTCTTAGATTATATTCCACATGGAATGTTGCTAGGAGGGATGAGGGGCTAGTCTTATTGAAGTGAATAAATTCCAACATTTTTATGGTTCTTTTGCTTGGATTTTCACCAATCGTTCTATTTGATTATATCATGTCTGCATCAGATATGTCTCCGTCAGCTTGTGTTGGAGTGGTAGCAAAAGTAGTTAAAGTGCGGCGGTCTATTGGAGAGACTGGACAAGGAGATCTTCCAGTGATGATTGAAACAACAGCTGCTGTGCATCCTGGTGGTAGTGGTGGTGCTATTCTCAATTCAAATGGTCACATGATCAGTCTTGTTACAAGGTAAAAAAGTATGAACTTTCTGCCAAAAACCATATTTTTCTTTGATAATCCCATCCCCATACACTGACAGTTCATGTTTGACTTTTTTAAGTCAACTAAAAAGGAAAAAGAAGGTTCATTTTCTCGCGTTTGACCATTTAAACGTTTTTTCGGAAATTATGTCCGTTCTTTTGTCATTTCCTTTCAGTACCAAAAGTTTCCATTTCTAGTACTTGCATAATTTGATGTTTATTGATGATTATAAACAACTTGTTGAAATGAAATCAATTCATATAGTTGTGAATGTTAAAGGTTGTCTGACTCTCTGTAGTTAGGTCTGGTCGATGGACCACATTTTCGTTGTTTTAATGTTTAAAGCTTTAGCCTTTTGTTGTAAAGTAGGTGGCCACCAAAACCCATTTTGTGCAAACATGTCTTGTCTGCCCACCCCATCTACCTTTATCAAAAGAGTTGAAGAAACCAGAAGTCCAAGTATTTCAACATTCTTTCCCCAGACTTTCATCATACAAGAGACATTTGAAAATTCCTTTTATTTGGCAAGGCTTTTGGGTAATCAATACCCCCTATATAAACACGAAATAATTCCACTTCTGATAATTAGAGATTCAAACCATGTATCTTTTCAAATTCGAATTTGACATGGATTTAGTATTTCATCTCCCAAATGCTTTTATTCTAGTACTTTTTGACAAAGGCAAATGCAGTTTTTCTATTCTTGTGCACATGAAAATAAATTCAAGATTGTAGTCTTAAATAAGGGAAAATTACATAAAAATGCAACATACTTTGGTGTGATTCCTATTTGTTGAATGTACTTTTGGAACATTCATTTTAGTACCTCATATGTGATATCTCAAACAGTTAGAGAATATGTGTCGCACAAAATGGGAATCATGCCAAAGTACATTGCATTTTCTTGCATTCTCCTATCACCTATGTAAACTAGATACCTAAATGTTTGAGATGTCACAAATGAGTACCAAAATGAAGGTTTTGAAAGTTGTTACATAAAATAGGAATCAGACCAAAGTTTGTTGCATTTTCATGCAATTTTCCCCCTTCAATCACTCATCTTACTTGCCAAGGTCAAATATGGAATCTTTTTTTTCTTTAATTAAAATGGTGAAAACTTATAGGCAGGATTGCAAGCAAGTTGATGAGATTTAAGTTTTGTTACAGCAATGCTAGGCATGGTGGGGGAACAATTATACCTTATTTAAACTTCAGCATTCCATGTGCAGCATTGGAGCCACTCTTCCACTTTTCAAAAGGTACTTCTTCTCTATGCATGAAATAGTTGTATCATGTGCTTTATAGCATATGCATTCATTGTGTAGCAGGCACATAACACTTCTTCCAAAGACATACTCCCATGAACAATTTAACACTTCCCTTTCCTAGATGTCTTTGAGAATCATAACATTTTCTTTTTTGAAAAGGTTTCTTGTTACAATAATGTATTTGTTTGTCATCATTATAACAAATAAACTTCAGTATTGATTTGGGTCCATAAGATTCATTTATTTCGTTGTTACTGATTGGTACTACAGGTTTTTGACGAGACAGAGGAAATAGTTTTTTGGCTTACGAAAATTGCAACAATTGATTTGAAGATGTAGTCTAATAAGAATGCTTGACTATTAGCCAATGTTTAAAATACCCTTCAATGATAACAAAACGAATCTTATGGATTTAAATCAGTACCGATCAATAATTTTTAACAATGACGATGCTAAATAGATGGTAAGTTAAAAGGTTTGTCAGATTTGACATGTTACAAACAAAGGAGACATCTGCATAGAGGAAATATAAAAATACAGGCCAAAAGGATGCTTGATACTCCTGTTCCAAAAAGAAAATGCTAATACCTTCTGTTTGGTGGTAAAAGAATACACTTTTTTTTTCTCTTTTTTTGTTAAATTCTCAATCGTATTTTTCTTCTATTATTATTCGTTACTACAAATCCGTTGCTTATATGTGGCATATTATTGTTCTAAATAGATATGTTTCTTTTTCTTTTATGCAAGACGGGAGTCCTCTAGGAAACAATCTCTTTGTCTTTTGGCAGAGAGGTAAAAGTCTCTGTACATCTTAACCCCCCAATCCTACCTACCTTCAGGTGGAATATACTAGGTCTGTTTGTTTTGATTTGAACTATAAGGGTACTCGCGCAATGCAGCGAAATAAATCTCGATTTAATGTTTCGTTTTTTTGTCTCGGTCGATGTTATAATACGGTTTTATTTGGTTTTGAGAAAGCGATGATGTTTTTATTTTTGAATAAAGTATAAATATGAAGATATCATAAAATTTTGGAAAAAGTATATTGATATTAGTACCAAACTAACTATTTAAAATTTCTCGCCTTTTTTGTAATTTCTTTAATTCATTTTTTTATTTTTGGTTTAATAATATTCTTTTTATAAAGATAATAATTAAGTATTTTGTTAGGACTTAATGATTATCCTAAGCATATTTTAGATTTTTTTATATTTAAAATAAAATATTTATCCTATATTTGATTATGTTTATCTGCAGTTAGTTACACAAATTTAAACATGGAGCTTTAATAAGTTGTAGGTATGCACAATTTACTCGTAATCTTGAATTGCAAGTAATGTGCATCAATAAATAGTATTTCATGCATAAAAAATGGTTTTTAAGAGTTTTTGTCAAATATTTTATAATATAGTATAGATTGTTAACGACCCTAAATTTGTAACTTCCATTTTGATGTGTAACTTTCCTTTTTTTGTTCGTATTAAGATTCAGTTTAGATTTCTAATTAATAGTTAAACGTATTTGCTATATACCAAGTCAAATTGCATTCTGTAGACGGATAGCATAACAGCAAACATAGTACATAAACCTCATGTGTACCCGATGTATTATAGACTTGTAGACTTATTGAGCCACGAAACCAAACCAAACATAACCAGTATATCCCACTCAGAAGTAGAGTTTGAGGGGTAGGATGTACATCAACCTTAACTTTATCCCAAGGGACATAGGGACATACAGACCTCACCTTTATACCTGTGAACCTAATCTTATACTCCTTCCATCTTTAAAAAGAGCTTGACTATTGATATTTATAGATTCAAATTTGACAGCTGCTTTTAGTTATATCCTCCAAAAAATATAATTACAGAATTTTCAATGTGAAGATGATTCTTGTTAATTTTGAACGAAAAGTGACTACTTTGAGACTCGAAAGTCACACGTGAACTATTATCCGTTGGTGCATTCTTGCAGACATGAAAGATTTATCGATCTTGGAAGATCTTGACAGGCCCAATGAACACCTTTCGTCCGTATGGGCATTGATGCCACCCCTATCCCCCAAGCCCGACCCACCTTTGCCTGACAAAGAAACAAAGGGTTCCAGATTTGCCAAATTTATAGCGCAGAGACAACAAATGTTGAAGCAAACATCGCCTTCTGACAAGATGGATCGTGATTCTTCTAAATTTCTTCCCAGCAAGTTATGACGTCCCTTCTTGTATAAACCTGCAATCGGGAGAAACGTTTCTTGGCAAAAATATGGGTGATTTGTTGTAATGTATGCAATTTCCACATGGAATGGAATGAATGCTTTAGGATAGTTTTCTTCTGTTAGTAAATTTCTGCATTCCATTGTGTTAAAACTTGAAATCTACCATTTGATGTGAATGTGAAAGAGACGAAGTAATATAGACCTGTATCACCCTTGAATCTATTTATTTACTCATTATTATTTGCTCTTTTAGGGTTGAGTTATGGTGAGAAGGAAAGTTAAAATGAGAAGCGTAAGAAGGGATTTTCACCCTTGGATGCACATTAGGATGAGATGCACTGAGATCAACCCCCGTATCAAGCGCGATTCATGGATAAGTTTGAGATTAAAGGTGATCAAGGGTCCAGATTTCTTCTTATGCTTCTCAACTTAACTCTCATTCTCATATGATCCTTCTGCTCTTTTATTGGTCCATATTTCGATAAAAAATCAAACATTTCTAAAAAAGTAGAGGTGGGTAAATCGGTTAACCCATTCTCCAGTCAAAATGTAAGTCCCTTTTGTGACTGGTGTAACTTTTGTGACTGGTGTAACTGTTAACCATAACAGACGCAGTAATATTTTTACTTATCTAATTATAAATACCAAAAAAACGTTAACTTTATAAAATCATACAATATATTAAAATGTCTAATAAAACGTCATCAGGTAATACTCATCATCCAAAATATCTTCATGATCTTGTGTACTCAAATTCATTGTAAGCAAACATTTGGGACATGCTCGACATATATGCTTACTTCTTCGTCCGGTCATATCTTCATCGACGTAGGGAAGTTCTTTTTCTAGTAAATATGTGTCTAGAATCCGATCCTTACTATCCGTATAATCCAGCAGGCAAACACAAACCTCAATCGATTCCGGTGTGGCCTTATCCTTCGTTCTGAAAGCACCCTGCCATTGAAGAAAAAAAAATCAGATTTTGAAGCTACAATACTAGCTTGCACGGTTAGTAGTTCTCTTGCTACCGCTGCGAGAATCGAAAATTGGGCCTCCTTTTCTTTCCATCATGCGAATATATCAAGGTGATCAAAATCTTCAACGATCATAAAACCAAGAAAGTTAAAATCCATAAAAATACACAACTCATTGTTTATTAGCTCTTTGGCATTTTGTAGTTCGAGAGACTATATATATATGTGTGTGTGTATATATATATATATATATATATATAGAGGAGGCGATTCTAATAAGAATAAATATCATGAGAAGGTTAGAAAAGAAGGTTACAACAATGTTCATATGTGAATCATTGAAAGAATACCAAAAAAAATCTATTTGAAGATGCATATACGAACCGACAATATAGATTATTCATATGGGGTTCACCTATATATCTTCAATTAGATTTTTTTTTTCAATAATTCACATATGAATATTTCTTTCTTACTTTCTCACGACATTTAGTCTTCTTATTTAAATCTGTCACTATATGTGTATATATATAGATGAGGGATCGTGTGAGAAAAAAACAATTATGGTGAGAATGGTAAGAACAATTATGAGCATTTTAAATAGTTGACCTTTTAATCTAATTTAATTTTTTTCAACTACTTTCAGTATCTTTAACTACATTCATCTACCTTTATCTTCAAGTTTATATTCATTTTTATGTCACTTTCACGACATTTTATATATATTTAATCACTTTCACATGTAGAAATTTGTTAATGTTTTGGTCATGATGAAAAAATTATGTGAATAAAGGTAGTTGGACGTAGAAGAGGGTATATGAATGTATATGGATGTTTTGTTCACCATAACTCTCATTCTCACTGATCCAATGCGTGTGTGTATGAGAGGGTTTGAAAGAGAAGACCATAAATGTTGAGAATGTGACAAGTGATCTCATCCATTAGATATGACTAGAAAGGTACTCGCGCAATGTCGTGGGATACATCTTTATTTTAATTTTTCGTTTTAAATTTCGTCTATGTTGATATAATATGATTTATATGGTTTTGAGGAAGATAACGTTTTTATTTTTGAATAAAAATAAATTTGAAGAATATCATAAAAATATGAAAAAATATATCGATATTAATATAAAATTAACTATTTAATTTTTTTTTTGTACAATTTCTTTAATTCAAATTTTTATTATACTTTAATGTAGGTCAAAATGAAGTAATTTATTTTTGGCTTAACAATAATTTTTTATAAAAATAATGATTAATCATAATTATATTTTAGATTTTTTATATTTAAGATGAGAGGTTTATCCTGTATTTGATTATGTTTATCTACAGTTAGTTATACGAATTCAAGAATGGAGCTCTAATAAGTTGTACTTACGCACAATTTACTTGTAATATTAAATTTTAAGTAATATGTATTAATACATAGTACTTCATGCATAAAAAAATTATTTTTAAGAGTTTTATCAAATGCTTTATAATATAATATAAATTTTTGACAGTCAAGATCTTAAGATCATATATCTAAATAGAGAAGATTTTTGGAAGTCAAGATCTTAATCATTCAACAACTATGAATATAAATATAGATATAAATATAAATATAAATATAAATATAAATATACCACCTTATAACACATTTACATCAAAACTCTTAAAGACAAGTCAAAGAGCATAATGTACAACCATAAAATTCAAAAAAACTATGAATTGCGATTAAGAGCGCATAGTGTACAATTTCTTAATTCAACCGTCGATTGTGACTGTTATTAAATGACTTGAATGTTGGTATTAAATTGTGTTGAATCTTGGTTTTGACGTTATGATCTTGTGAGCTATAGATCGCGTGCATTTTTATTCCTAAAATAAAGACAATGTGCAACGGTCGATGTAATAGGTGTAAGTCCTTGGTATCGTGCGTCGAAGGAAATTCCGATCATCGATTAAGGATTGAAGAAAATAATCCTCGACCAAGGGGCGAAGATCTTGTGGTCGACGATGACTACGACCGTGGGTATTACGATCGTCGACCATCTGAATCTTGGTTGTAGATGTCATAGTCGAGGGAAATATCTGTCTCTTGGTACTAAGTTGCGTTTGGTACATGGGACGGGACGGGACAAAACTCACTGTCCCATGTTTGGCGCAGCATGGGACAGAACAAGAACCCACTGTCCCACGTTTGGCGCGACATGGGACAGGGACAAGAACTGTGACAAGGTAGGCAACATGGGACAAAAGAGGTTTTTTCTTGTTCCACCAATAAGATGGGACAAAAACTAAAATATTACTAATCTACTTTAGTTTGATATATAACCTTAATATGATATTTGTTTTAATGGTCATCACCACTAGTTTCGGCCCCAGCCACCACTACCGGTGGCCACCTCCACCTCCTTTTCCACTACAACAACATCCTCCACCATTCACATAGTCCATTGCCACCTCTACCATAGTCGACCACCGACCACCACCGTCCATTGCCACCACCACTACCGCCGTTCGCCACCTTCAACTCCTCCTCTACTACAACAACCTCCTCCACGACCACCATCGGCCGCCACCATTCACTGCCACCTCACCTCCACCATAACCACCACCACCACTATCTTCACTACATCAACCACAACTACCTCCTCCACCGTTGTCAATCGCCAACATCACCATAATCTACCATCTTCATGTCCTCTATAACCACTGTCGTCCACCAAACACCACTGCCTCTAAATCCATAACCACTGTCGGTCACCGACCACCACTGCCGGTTGCCACTACTACCGTCGGCCACCACCATCTCCACCATATCCAAAACCACCTCCACCACCACTACCATCAATTATATCACATTTTTCATTCAAATTTGGTACAAATATGAAAACTATGTACAAATATTTATAAATTAAAATTTTTAATTATTTATTTTATTTGTGTTAATTATAATTATTATATAATATTTAAAATCATCAAATAATTTTTGGGGTAGCTTGTCTAGTTCTGTCCCGTCCAGTCCTAATCGTACCAAACACCAGACATACTCCTGTTATGTTCAGTCATGTCCCGTCCAGTCCTACCTTCTTGTCCTATCATGTCCTGTCCTGTCCTGTCCTGTCCTGTGCAGTCTTGTCCTGTGCAGTCCTGTCTTGTGCTGTCCTGTGATGTCCTGTGATGTCATGTCCTGTCCTGTGCTGTCCTGTGCTGTGCTGTGCTGTGCTGTGCTGTGTTGTGCTGTGCTGTGCTGTGCTGTGCTGTGCTGTGCTGTGCTGTGCTGTGCTGTGCTGTGCTGTCCTGTCCTGTCCTGTCCTGTCCAATTATGTTTGCGTACCAAACGCTACCTAAAGTTTGTCTTGAACATGTCTACAAGTAAACACATTCTTGCCATTGCTTCATTGGAAGTGGACCTCTCGAGCATCGAAGCCAGGGACAGCGGTGATCGTGAAGTCGCATGGGAAGTCGGTTTCCATCACGGCATAGAATCCACGATGGCATCAAGCTAGCCAATAGTGTGGTCTATGGATGTGAACTCCCTTTCAGACCCATAGGAGGATGCGGTTAGGGTTAAAGACCCAGAGTGGTTTTGTAGTTGTTGGTGTATGCACTCATCAGAGCCATTATTTAACATGTTAAATGTGTGATTTGGAATAGGGTCCCAAAATTTTTATTGTTTAAGGTCATTTTATCAACGAATGTAAAAACTATAATCTACCTTCAGTGCCACTTTAATTTCTACCGGACAACAAAAGTAGTATGCTTTATCTCATTTTTATAATTTGTATATATGTATCTTTATTATCTCATTTTGTAGTGTAATCAAAAGTTTTAGGTGTAATAGCGCCTCCAAAAATATTGCAACGTCCCTGGCACTCATCTAGGTTGCATCTCGTTGCCGGATGCAAGTGACTTTGGTTTGCGAGATTTAATCATTCAAAATGAAAAGGTTTAATAATTTATTTATTAAAAAAGTTCAAGAACTTAATAATTCAAAATGAGAATGTTTGTTTGGTTTTTCTAAACTTTTCATTGTTAAAATATGCATTTTTTTTTAAGTTTTTGTATTAAAATAAATACTTAATAAAAATCAGACTCTATAAAACTGATAACAACTTGAGATTTTCTTGCTCTTTCAATTCAGAAGCACACAAAAACTTAAAAATCATAATCTAAGCGGGACATAAAGCAAGAGAGGAGTCGAATTCTCAGAGTTAGAACCCGAACATGATTGTAATTTCTAGATTGTTCAGTCATGAATTTCAATTTTTTTGACAAGTACTGAATGTGTTTGGAAGCTCCACACTCCTGCTAGAGGTGGCCAAAAATCGGTCCCGATTAATAGTGATTCCGTAACTGGTCTCAACCCAAATACGAAGGCCCGGTTAAGGTGTATGAGGCTCGGATATGAGAACCGGTGCCGGTCCCGTTCCTAGGCCCATGCCAGGTCCAAACCGGTCCTATGTAAAAAAAAATTAAAATTCGATTTTTTTACGTAGTTTTTTTGAAGATTATTTTAAATAGTGTTATTTTAACACACTTGAAAAGATGTAATTGGGCTAATTAAATATACTTAAAAAATACATTTTTTGCAAGAATTGTAAACGTTTGTGAGTTGGTATCTTCCCCCATATACCATATGACTTATATATAGTGAATAGAGAGTAAATATGACAATCAAAAACATTCAAGAAAATACGTTTTATTATAATTTTGTAATGGTTTTCAATCAAATACACTTAAAAAGTTAAAAGTACATTTAAAGACAAATTTTAAAATACATTTGTTTTGAAAAATCGGGCCAAGCCCATAATCGGTCACAAATCCGCTGGGCAAGACCTTGTTTTTTGAAAAAAACCATAACCGGTCATTAGACTATCTTTATTCACAAACCAAACCCCAATCTTTATTAAAAAATTAATTTCTCTCTCTTCCACCTA